AATGCATTGAAATGTTTCTTTGCTATTTGTCTTCACTTATAATTGTATTTAGACTTCAGTACCTTCATGATCTTTGTAACTTCAAACATGGTGTCACTGTTTCTTAGTATTTAATTTATATTTTAGCATAGTTCTATACAGGTATTAATCATGTAGTTTCTTTTGATCATGGAATTACAGAATGCTGCAAAGATTTAATAAATTAGACTGATAACAGAATTTTCCAATGCTTTTGGTAATTGAGAACAATCATAAGAAAATCCTTTGTATGAACCACAGTTTTGAAAGAACATATATTGTAGGAAGCCAGTACCTTAACAGTTAATGTGTACTACACTTGTGTGTTCCAGAACTAGGTTTCTACCTGGAGTTTCAGTTTTGCTCTGCACAGGGTATGCAGCATTATAGTCTTGTTATTGTGCAGGATATTTCACAAAGCAAGGGAAACCTCAGGTCTGTCATAATATTATGTGCTTCTCTCTATTCTTTTTGCTGTCTATCCAAGTCATTATATTTATTTTCTTTGTGATTAAAATAGCCTGTTTTCTGGATCAATATGAAGGATCACTGGTCACAACGTAGGTCTATCCCCCAATTATCCATGAGGTTAGTGAACTTTGTAGATTACATATTTGAGACCACTAGTACTTTGAAAAGGTTCTTCTGGAGGGATTCTCTATTATATCCAACATAAATCAAGACTGACTTTTTTGAAGCTTCTCAGAAAGGCATCTGTGAGCACTGAAGTTTGGTTCCACTCCTGAGCTATATGTATTAAGGCTCTCAACCTTGTCCACCATAGGTGAAGGAAAACTATAACAAGGAAATGATAGCAGAGATTAGATACTTGTGCTTTTAATATGCCCAGGATAATCTACTTGGTTTTACTGCTCAGGATGTGTTCTACTCACCTGTGGTCCCTGCTCTCGTCAGCTTGCCTTCATTATGGGAATTTTTTTAGTGCAACAAATTTAGAATAGCTGTGATTTCTTTATGCAGAAGTTTTTCAGGCTTAGGAAAACCAGAACATGGACCCCTCTGTTCAATGAGAGCAATTTAAAGTACAAGCAATGTAGTTTCCTTCCAGAGAAGGCCACTTTGTTCTGGAAAGAAAGTATCTTCTATCACGTGTTTTGAGTGCAACCTTTTCTTGGACAGTCAAAGTGTTGGGCTTTCCATGGCTTTCTCTCTTGCTATCAGAATAGGACATGAGAGGCATGAGCTTTTTTGGTGTTTGTGTTCTGCTTGGTTTTTTTTTCCCTTCAATAATCAGTAAGAACACCTTGATAGTTCTAACTTCAGATATTTGTTTTATCTGGGATGTGTTTTCCTGACAGACAGCACTTGAATGTAAATGAAGTACAGAAATATTCTATTATGAGGTGGAAGTTTTCAGTATCTCATACAAGAAATGCAGAATTGCCAATTTCTTCTCCGTTTATCAGGCAATTAATTTCATACACTGTAGGCAGGTTTACTATTGGTTCTTTTTCCTTTGCAGTCTTGGACACAATGATGCCTGCCCTCCAGTCATGTTATTACCTTGAATTACAATGCAGTATACTGCTTACAGATTTGGCACACCATAACCAGTTTCAAGAGCCTTAGAAAAAGTGCAACTACCCCAGGTTAGCATGACTAGCATGAGTAGGGCTTTCTTGTAAGTGTTACATAGAGAACATCTGGATCTGAACAATTTGTTTCTTGATAGTTCAGATGATTTATTGATGGAGGACGGAATTGATTAGCCTCTGTCACTATGTACCTGCAGTGGTGAGCAGTTGTGTGACTGACTGATAATTCGTCCAGAAGAGTTCGTAGAGTGTAACCAGAGCCACCTTCTCATGGAAGAACTCATAAGACACTTCTCGACATTCTACAATAGTTTCTACAATAGTTTTCAGATCTTAAATATATAACACAAGCATGCACAAGATAATATTGCTACTTAGAGAAGTTGTAGCTATATAAATTATAAGGATTTGAAATAACAAGTTTAACTAGTTCTATATAAACAATATCACACAGTTTCCTTTTCATTTTGCTTCCTATAGGAAAGACATTTTAATAATTAATTTTTAAAAAATTACTTATGAGCCATAAAATCAGAGGAAGTCATTAAAACCATAAAAATCCAAAGATAGTCTTGGATGTATAGCTTGGATGTATAGCATTTTCAGTACTTGCAGCCATATTCCTACATAAGACAGAATTTTGCTAGGTTTTCCTAGGAAGGACAGAATTTGCTAAGTTTTCCAGATGCATCTATGGTACATGCAGGAAGCCTGGCCATTAGTAATGCTTTCAAATCTGAAAAATTTTGGACTTGGATGGCACTTCAAGAGATCTTGTGCATTGGTTTCCATCATTTAAAACTGATAGTGTACCAGCCATTTCAAGGATATCCGTAAATATGTTGATCTACTCCAAAAAACTCTCAACCCCTTCTGTGGCTACATGCATATGTACATGTACACAGATACTCATAGACAGACAGACAGACAAACAGACTGGGGCAGGTTTGAGTTTTTTTTTATGGCTTTTTTTCCTGAAATGTCTCTGAGCAATGCAGGCCATCCAGGTGCTGAGCTGTCTGAGGATGGTAATCTCAAACTTTGCATATGAGCCTCCACCTGCTATATCCTTCTTTATGTTTGCTTTTATTGAAAGCACTCATTAGGTTAAGTCTTTGCCATGTCAGAGTGTTCTACTGATTCAACACTCCCATTTTCAAAGCTGTATTGGTCTTTACTTTATTAGAATAGTGCATAAAGAGTCAGTTAGAATGAGAGCCCCATTGACATGCCTGTAGAAAAAACAAATGAAGGTTTATTTCTGCTCTGAAGACATACAGTCTAAATAAAAGAGAAAGAATAGAAGAAATAGATACAAACAGCTGGAAGAAGGGTAGACTTTCACAAGTGTGTCTAAAATATATTTTCTGTGTATCAGTTTTTTTCTCTTCCAAGTGTTCTTATAGTGATTTTAACTGAGGAGATGCCTGAATTGGGAGTTAAGAAGAAGATTTCTATGTTTTAGTCCATATTATCATTATACTCATTTTAATGTCTGTACAACATTAGCATTTGAGACTGCAGGAACTTAACTGCTTTACTTGTTGGTGTTACACTGCAGTTGATTTCAGTGAACCATAAAAAGTTTGCCCCTGAAGGTAAAATTACACTGTATGCATGTTCCTAGCATACTGCTTTGGGGATAAACATGTCTTAAATCAACTCATTGCTCACAGCTGAATTCCTTCTCCAAATGCAGTTTCTGTGCAGATAATAATGTTCAGAAAGACTGATTTTCTGTAAACCATAAAGTTTTTTGAACATATTGAACATTTTGAACATTTTATCAATAAATGTATTTGAGCAGGATTGGAAAGAATTCTTATAATCCTAATAAAGACTGGGGTTTTAGTGAAAGGAAAGGAGGGGTATATACCAACATTTTTAATTAGCTTTCATCGGCACCTCCAGTTTGTTCATATGTGTTCCAAACATTTGCATATTGTTTCATCACATTTGCATAATAAAAACTTTTGGACTTCATTAAAACTTCTTTTTTGTAATTGTGCATTCGGAAAATTAAATTCAACGTTTATGACACCCTGGCTCCTACTTGCTTGGATCATAGTGTGTAGTTAAGATGCCATCACTTGAGACCTTTGTTACAGCAATGTTTCTGTTGGGATTTAATATACTATGGGTTCAGATGGATGTAATTGTGGCCTTGAGGTGTTGGTCTAAAGAATACTGTCTGGGTTTGTACCCAGATATTCCTGGATTAGTATTCTGAGACTTAGATCTTGTCCTGTCTGGAATTTAAATACTGTTCCCTGAGCTTTAAAGAGAATGCAAACCCCATTTCAGCCTCTTAAAATAAGAGTCCTTTATTTTACCTCTTTAATTTGCTGCTTTTTTTTTTTTTCCCCAAACTCTTGTAGCCATTGAAATCCAAGCAGTAACTTCCAAACCATTTTTACAACCTCAAATAGATGAAGTGCCTGTTTGTTCCTTGGTTAAATTCCCAAATTAATTATAGTTAGAAAGTTCTTACATCTGAATCTCCATTTTTCTTATAATATGTAAGGGCAGAATAAAAAGTCCGTAGATAGTAGGCAAGACTTTGGAATGTAAACAACTTTGTTACATTTGAGAGGCCATCTTTTGTTGCAACAAAGTTGATTTTTGTGAGTTTTGTCTTTTTTTGTTTTTGTTTTCTGGTTTGTTTTGGTTTTATGTTTTTGTTTAGGTTTTTTATATTTTTTTTGTTTGTTTGAGTGTTTTTTGTTTGTAGGGGTTTTTTGGTGCGTGGTTTGGTTTTTGGGGTTTTTTTTCTTTCTTTCTTTGTTTTGTTGCTTTCTGAAATGATACCTTTGGTTTCAGGATTGAAATTTCCATTTTATTTCTATATGGAGAAGAGAAACATAAACTCCCCCACAGTGGCAAATCTGTGTGGGGTTTTCTTCTATTTAGCAATCTTTGACCCATACCTCCCCTGTTCAGTGAGTAGAAAGGGCATGGTAACTTAGCTGAGGATGGCTACAGATCTGCTCTCCATGTAAATCATGAAGTGAACCTGGAGGGGAGAGAATTCCAGAAATCTGCTAATAGACAAAATACTTCAAAAGTATTTCTTTACAAAGAGAGCCTTTCTTCTACCCCCCCGAGTATATATTAATTGGTTATAAATCTTAGTTTTGAGGTTGTTATTCACCTAATTATTCACACAGCAGTGCATGATGGATTCACAGGTACAGTTACTGTTCCATTGTACTGGCAAGAAGTCTTTTCTATGCAACAGAGAGAATTTTTAGTCTAAAGCTCCAAGTTCTATAATTAGTTATATAGTAAAGGATTCAGAAGAGTGGCAAAACATATACAAGTGCTTAGAAGTTTGCCCAATTAGCCTTTAAATTGTCTGCCTGCATATGTCATTATTATAAGTGTTTTAGTATCTGGTGGCATTTATGTTTTTTCCTTTTCTTCCAGATCATTACTAAATATATTTATGAACTACTAGAGAAGGAATGCCACTTGAAGAAAGTAACTCTTCCAGTAAGTATAATTTATTTTTCCAAAGGCATTGTTCTTTTGAATCTGTACCCAGCATAGCCTGTGATCCCCTATTCAGATAAAGACAAGTTGTGCCAGGGCTCTGTGCAGGGCATTGTCTCAGGACAGTGCCTTTGTATTTTACATACATATGCATCTGGAGATGTGGTTCTACCTTGTTTCTCATGTGTTTGATTTCTCCAACTGAGCCTTCCTTACTTTACCAGATACCAGAATTTTCAGATGTGGTGATTTTAGTAGGAGAGCCATAAGCTTTTTGAAAAGTATTTGTAGATATTCTGGGACGTCTGAAGCTGAATGTAGAAAACAGAAGCATCTCCACAGGCTACACTCACATTGAGTATTAGAAAACAACTCCAAGTAATTTTTTTTAAAATGCTATTTCAGTAATTTGTAATATGTATGTTGTTGAGTTTTGCATGGGTCTTGGGTCTTCCAAGAGACAAGAGCAGCTGTTGGTTTTTGTAAAGTTGTTTATTGCATGAATACATCAGTCTCAAAGGCGAAGAGTTCAGAGTATTAAAGTCCATGCTAAAAGCTTTATGGTACAGAGTCCCGATGTTCTGAGCAGAAGCAGCAGCAGCTCTCACACCATTTTTCTTCTAATTCTTTCTTCCTCTTTCTGTTGTTTTTTCATCCTGGTACAGGGGGATTTTATTCAGAAATCACCCCATCAGCTAAAAACATAATTCTAAAACATTCTTCCTACACCAATCTGAGTTTAATTCTAATGTGCAAAAGTCATGTCAGTTCTTACCCAAAAGTCTATATATATATATATTTTTATCTGTTCACGCAAATAATTCTGTCTGTTCTATCTAGAAATACAGGCAATGTTCTTCTGTGCTTTCATTATGTCTGGAGCTAAGTTAATTTTATAAAAGGTAACACTACTGAACTTTAAACTAGGCTTTAGGGCTTTTTACTAGCTAACACAGTCTCTTAAGGCACTTAAGATCTATTTCTACTTACTTAAAACTAAAACTTACAATCCTACTTCATGTCTGTGTCCTAATATATTTCAGTTTCTCTAAAGGCTCTAATTCAATCCTGGCATTCCTTTCTCTCTCTGAGGCACTCAGGCTTCTATTTCATGCATTCCAACAGTATGTAATATAAAGTGCTTATATTGCTTAGTGAAAGTATTTTATCAGCCTTGGAAAAGATGAAGTGCTCTCCTACTTATCAGAGTGTTTATAAATACATGTGATATGACGATGATGTTCAGGTATTTTTATATTCTATACTGGAGAGTGCAGGGAGACTGGAGTGTGACAGCACTGTGTAGATTTTCTATCATTATGAAGGATTCCTATGCTCTTGGAAATCTTCTGAATTGCTGTTTTTTTCAGACAAACCTTCATATTCAGTCAAGGAAAACCTGTTAAGGCTATGGAAGGAAAAAGTCTTTTCCCTTAATAGTTCTGTAACATTTCACTATTCCCAATTCCATTCCCTGAGCATTGCTTAGGGAATGTTTTAATAACTTGCCCAAACTACTTAGAGTTTCCTAGCAGGGCTTTTTCAGTGTCTCATGGTCATGGCAGAAGGAGCTTAGCTACGAGATTCAGAGAAGTCGAAGGGCAATACTTGCAGCCTGGTGTTTGCACCAATGCCTGACAACTAAGACTGAGAAAGCATTTCCTCACTTCAGATTTTTCTGTGTGTACAGACATAGGATTAGTTTCATCACTGGTGCAGTGCTAGTTATGATCTCCAGCTTTTTGGATAATTTTCTTGGTGAAGTTTAGGTCCAAGAAGTACTTCCAGAACCGTAATGTACCAAAAGACTTCTCAAGCCGTGCCACACTTTGTCATGTTTGTGAAACCATGAAGCTTTTGTTTATAAAATTCAAAGTGCCCAGATTTTAAGGTTATAGGACTTTCTTTGATTCCTAAAATAGAATATGAAGAATATGCATCTAAGTAGTGCAGTGCTCAGGCTGATCAATTAGCTCCAAAACATGAAGACAGAAGAACTTGGGATAAGTATTATAGCACCTCCGTCACCTATGTGACACCTGTGGTGATTCATTTGCCTGGCTCTAAGGTTTGGGTTTCTTGGCTTGAAAGAAGAGTAGCCCTGACTAGTTCTCACTTTTGGATTAATCTCTGTTAACTTGTATCTAGAAATTGTGTAGTAGGCATGGATACAGTTGTTCAGTAGTATATTTAAGCTATTCTCAAATGTATTACTTTCAACTTCTGTCAAGTGTCATAATTACATTTTGGAGCAAAGTAAGAAAGCACAAAATATTTAGGTGTCTTTAATGGAAGCATTGTGGAAAAATTCCTATGAGGTACAAACACCATTCTTCAGGAGTGGCTGTTATGCATAGCTAGCCCTCACTACAATCAAAAATAGTTTATGAAGGCACATACAGAAGTGAAAAATTGAAACAATATATTTAGAAGCTGAAAAATTAAAGCTGTGTAAAAGCTAGGTTTAAATAGCCACTGACAGACTGCCAAGTAAGGACACAAAACCTTCTAGTTTAAACTAGTAAAGGAGGCTGACTAATAAAAACAATAAAACATCTTTTAGGATAAGAATAGGAGAGAGTATAAATGTTGGCAAGTCACATGTAAAATCACAGGAAGTTCACAAAAACAAAATTTGAGGATCTTGTTAGATTTGTAAAGGCTAATATTAAAAGAGAGCTGATAAGGCCAGTAGATGAACTGCAGCTAAAATGAACACTGAGGTCAAGTAAGAAAAATAAATAAATAAAAGAAAAAAACCAACCAACCAAAGAAAACAGCCAAAAAAACCCACCACAAAAAAACCCACAAAAAAACCCAAAAACACACAAACAAAAAATAAAAAACAAAACCAACCAAACAAACCCAAACAAAGAAAACCCTATTATTATTATTTCCAATTCTACTTGTCCAATTTCCACACACTTAACTTTTTTTTTCTAAATAGGATATAATTCTGAGCAACTGTCTGAAATTTGTCATGTCAGTAGAGGAGGCTTTAGGACTAGTTGTTATATTGTACAATAAACAAATTCCAGGATGGGATTTATTTTGAATCTACGGTTCTATAAGAAGCTATAAGTACATGAAGTTGCAAAACAACCAATTTTTATTTAACTTACTGCTGAAATCAGCTAATAATAATAATTTTAATATGTTGGGGGAAATGAGTACAAGTTTCTTTAAAAAAAATAGAATTCATTGCAGTAGTCAGAGATCACATGAAGAAGAAAAAACTTGTCAGTAAAAGAGTACAAGTATTTCCAATGAACTGTCAACAAACTTAAATGCTTTTAAAAACCACAGGAGAAGGGAGTCCCCCTAAGAGTTAATTGGTTAAAAGGGGAGAAAGGTGTTCATATTTTACAAGTGAAATAAACTGTTAGTAATGAAATGCTATTGAGAAGTGATATAGTTGTAAGCAAAAGGAAAAAAGGAATTAATACAAGCTAACAAACTTCTCTGTTTTTTTTTCTAAAATTATTTGAGATAGTTAAACCTAAAGCTGATGATGATGAGTTGGGAAATTATTTCTTGGTGCTGAATAGTGGGATGATTAAATGTCAGGAAATTAAATTCTAGTAAATACGAAATTATGGGGAAGATAACTCACTCTGTAAACACAACAGTGGCCTCTAAATGAGCTATTACAACTCAGGAAAGAGCTTGAAGTGATTGTGAGTAGTTCTCTGAGAACATCAGTGAGTGCTCAATGGCAAAGACTGTCAAAGCAAATAGGATGTTAGGAATTATGAGGTATCGAGAACAAAACAGAAAAACATCGTCATTCCACTCATTATGTGGGCCCTCATGTTAAACACTGCATGAAGTCTGGACACCATATCAAAAAGGATATGAAGAATTAAAAAGAAATACAGAGGAGGGTTGCAAGGATGATCACAGGCATGAAATGCTTTTCAGACAAAGAAAGATTAAACAAAGATTCTTCAGCTTGGAAAATAGATGACTGAGGAAGGAATATGACAAATCTATAAAATCATGAAAGGTGAAGAGAAGATGAATAGGGAATGGGTTTTTGCTTTTTTCATAATAGAGAACCTAAGGGGCATCAAGTTTAAATTATCAGGCAGGAGATCTCTACTGAAAGAGACAGTATTATTTCATATATGTCCCAATTATATTGTGGAACTGGTTGCCACAGAATACTATCAAGGAGAGAGGTATAAATGCATTCAAAAAAACCCATTTGACAATATTAAGGTGGGATAGGTGCCTTGAACTATTGTACATGCTTGTCCAGTTATATAAACTGTGGCTTGCAAGGTTCCAAAGTTACTGGCTGTCAAAGCCAGGGAAGAATCACTCTATAACCACTCTGTTTTGTTACTGTTCCCCTACGCAATTTGTGTGTTGTCAGAAATAGGATTGCCAGAAATAGGACCCTGGACCTTGTTCTGACCAAGGTGGCTCATATATATATATATATATATATATATATATATATATATATATATTTGTGTGTGTTTGTATATATATATATATACACAGACTCTCATGTGAATATTTTAGAGATGAATACATAAACATTTTTTCTTTTAACGTCATCACAGGTATTCAGAAAGTTGGTGTATTGGCTTTCCTTCTTCTGTCAGCTGATAATGGAGTTGGCAATGCTGTGATTTTTGAATGTTTGAAATGTGTTTTGGGACTGTGTTAGGTGGAGTGTGCTTTTTTCAGCATGATTTTAATAGGGAATGGGAATGCTGTGCTTCAAAGGTTTAGAATGATGGTATTTCATGTTCTCTCCTACTCTTTAATTTCAACCTTGTGTGTAAAGTCGAACTTGCTGTCTTTGTTTTGGTTTCTTAGGTGGCAGCTTCAATTTTAGATACAAAAGTTTATTAATTTATTTTCAGATATGAAAGTAAGACCAGTTGGCAGATCAGGAGAGCTTGTCCATCATTGTATTATGCCAGCAGCTGAACATTTTTTCCTACACAAGGAGGCCAAGATCCATGTTGCATTGTTGTTACTGTAAAGCATTGCACTTCTGATAGTGTTCAACATGTACTACTGGACTTGAAAATTTCAATGAAGAGTCCCATATTCAGGGAGAGGCCATTATTACTTGCAAAGTTTCGTTTTGTGCTCCACTGAAGGTTATGTTAGGAATAAAAGAAAGACTGCAATTGTTTTAGCCAGATGAAGTATTTGTATTTCTCTATTTTTAGTGGCATAATCAGTGATTGATCTTTGCTCTTCTTTAGCTGTTGAGGATAAATAGTGTGTGTCTGAATTAACTGCATCTTTAACAGCTTCTGGGGAAGCCTGAGATGGAAGTTTAAATAATTAGTAACATACTGTAGTGGTTTTAAGCCCTGCTGGAAATTAAACACCATACAGCTGCTTGCTCAACCCTCCTTTTACCTGCCCCAACACCAGCAGAATGGGAAGGAGAATCAAAGTGAAGCTTGTTAACTGAGATAAAAACAGTTTAATAACCTAAAGCAAAGTAAAATACAGTGATAATGGTAAATGATAATAATACGACCAAAAAATTGATGTGCAGTGACAGATGCCATACCCTGATTCCTGAACCCAGATTGGCCATGCTTCTGGGTAACTCCCCCCAGTTTATATCCTGGGCATGATGTTCTGGGGTGTGGAATATTCCTTTGCCAGTTCAATGCACTTGTCCCAGCCATAGTCCCTCCAAGTTTATTTTGCCTACCTTCTCACTGGCAGAGCATGAGATAATGAAAGGGCAGTCCTTGACTTTGGATAAACCCAACTTAACAAAAATCAAAAATATCAGTGTGTTATCAATACCATTCTTGTTCTGAAGCCGAAACACAGTACTGTATCAGCTACTGTGAAGAAATTAACTCTATACTGGCTGAAACCAGGACTCATGTTTAATTGACAATGGCACTGAAACATCTCACTTTGCAGAACCTTTTCAATTAGCAGTGCTTTCCTCTTTCACTTCAACAGGTAAAAGTTCATCCAAGAATAATGTTTCTCTTTGTGAAACAATGGTCTATTATCTCTATGCATGTCCCTTTTGCTGGTTTTATCACCTAAGAGAAGTTAATGCTTGTTTGTAAAATTTCCACAAATTTTAGGTTTGTTAAGTTAGTTGTGGTAATAGTCAAATGTTGATTAGCTGCCTGTAATATTGATCAGCAATTCTCAGTTTTACATTTTGATTGAAAAACTCTAAATCAGGACTCTCAATACTGTGATGAAGACTAACCAAAGCGAGTTAGTGAGGTTTATGTTGAAACATATAGAAGATGACTTTTCATCTTGGGAAGCAAATGAGCAGATTTTTCTCTCCACCAGCTGTTCACAAGTTTCACAATCTTTTTTGAGTCTTTTCAGTTTCAATTCCACTTACTTGCCATGTTCTTTCCTCCAGTTGCAGTTTTTGCCTACTTTGTAGGCTCAAGACTCATGATTTTTGTTGTGTTTCTTAACTGAAATAAGTAAAATACTTAGTAAGAAAAATAATAAAAAAAATTGTAGTGGATTTTTTCCCCCTTTTCAACATTCAATATTATTAAGGAATTGTTAAAGAATTATTGTACATTGTACATATTGTACATTGGGAAAAAAATCTAAGAAAAAAACCTAAATAGTAGTTTTAAACAGTAAATTATCATTGTAATTTAGATAGATTTGGCATGCCTAGCTACAGATTACCAGAAGATTGTTCTCACGTGTAAATAGTGATGTTGTATCAAATTGTTAAATTGATCTATAAAAACATTTTCCTGTATTAATTCAGTTTAGATTGAAGTGATTAGAAATCAGTGTTCTTGAGTAGGTCCAGAAGAGCAAGTGGCTAATAAATGCAAATTATTTTATGTGGCCTGATGGTGTCTAGTATTAAATGGTATTTTACATTGATCTGTCAGTAAAGTAAGATCGTGTATAGGAGTGACCTTTTCATGCATTCTCTAGTGAAAGCTGGATCTAATAATTTAGTACTATTTGAAGGTGAATTAGCTTGACAAAAATCTCTAAATGCGTTTAATTTTGGAAAAAGAATCAAAAGTAATTTTTTAATGATATTGGTGGATATTTTAGCTGTTTAAAATTAACTTCTTAACAGATATGTGAACTAGCTGTATCTTCTAGTGCATATGTTTACTAAATGCTAGTATTTCCTATGTGTACTACATAATATTTTAGTGTATAGGTGCTAAAACCTATAGCTAAGTTATACATTAGTCTGAAATGAAAATTCATAGTGTTTTTTTCCTAAGTATAGTGTTGCAAATATTCCATTTGTGGGTAGAAGTCAGTTACACCTTGCTAAGAATTATCTGAGATTCAGTGTTAGCTGACTTTTTACCTAATCTGTTTCACCTTTTAAGGTGTCAATACTGTTATTTCACAAGCAGCAGCATGATCTGACTGTAGCCCCAGTCTTTTCAACAGAACATATTCTTTACCATGTTTTCTATTTTTCCTCAAATTTCCTGTACATTTCCTATGCAAACTCTGAGGCACATGAGATGTTACTTTATTTTGGAGCAAGGGAATAAGGTCTTCAGTGCTATGGCACTTTCATTTACAAATTTGTTCAAGTAGCCTCACTGAATTAATTAAAAAAAAAAAGTTTGGTATGACTTATATTAAAAAAAAGTCTGAAGATGCATGCAGAATTAATTTTTCCTATTATAAGGGCAGATGAGAATATATACCTGTGAGAAATGATGCTCACTTTTAAAATTTCAAAGGTTTATTAAACCTTTACAAAATACAACAGAATGACTGAATAAGGAAAATTGCAGCAGAACTAAACCACCATGTGCTCACCCACAAAAAGGCTGTTCCACCTTTTTGTAGCCCCGGTGTTCCATCAGGTAACCTTAACCCAAGTCCATCAGTCAGCTCTTCCTCGCTGTCCATGGCTGCAGCTGCTTTCTCGCAGCCCGGCTGCAGCTCAGGTGTTGCCGCCTCCCAGGAACGAGCCTGCCCGTTCCAGCTGCCCCGGCTGCCAGGGCTGTGGGTGACAACAACATGGAGAGGGGAAAGAGGACTATGGGGAGAACATGTCACAGTGATGTATCTACACATCAATAAAACCTCTCTTAACATACGCATAATATTCATCCCTTAATTGTGAGAGCCAAACCATCGCACTGCTCATCTACAACATATCCATATATGAGAAAAAACTAACATAATCCAAATAGCCTATTCCTTCTTAACATAGGGATCATAACCTGATCTGATTTTCTTCTCTGTTGCAGAGAATGTTCCTAGCTATTGGGCAGTTAGGCTGGAATATAGTAGGAGGGAGTGATATGCCTGTTTGGTTCTTTCTTTTCTATGTATTATGGTAGAAAGAGAAGAACAAGTAGGCATGAGGATTTGTTTTGCCCTCATGGTATTTACATCAGGACTGTTCTTTTGTCTTGAGACAGGCTTGCCAAACCAAGTGTAAAAACTTTAGTTTGTATTGAACAAAAAGTGCTGCTCTACTCTCTTAATGACAAAATATGCTATTAGGTTGCAATTTGCTGAATATCGAAGCTAATTGTTGGTCTGTTCTTATAGCAAAGTAGCCAAGTATTGATGTGGTACAGGAGGACTCTGAATGAAGCTATTATTTAGAACCAAATTGGATTTCTATATTTTATTAGATCTATCCTATTAAATTTGTAACAGACAAATTTACAGTACTGGTTCCTATGTAGGTTGTCGAGTATTTATGTTGAGGTGGCTGATTTGGAACTATCCAGGATTTTTTTTTTTTGTATTATGTAAGAATTTATTATTGCTTCAGGCATATCAGAGGTGAGAAATTACTTGCTCCTTTCCATCTTGCTCCCTCCAATTGCTCATTTATGGACTTTCTTCCTTTCCTGTAAATTTTTGTCAACAACTGATATTTCAAAGCTTAAGTACACCTTTCACCTCTTTTCTTAATTTTAAATGTCCCTTGAATTGGTGTTCTAAAATGTGGTATGTTTTTATGTTTCAAAGGTACATTGTATATTTTGCTTTATTTTTATTTAGTCCTGGGCACTCATGCATTGAAATGATTTTTAAATGGTGAATGTTTTTATGTAAATTTGGTAAATAACTATATAAATACAGGTTTTCTTTCAAAGAATTTTATTGATGCATTAAAATGTGTGTTGTCTTTAATTGCAGGTTGATGCAATTGAGACTGAACCAAAGAGCTTTATCTTTATGAGTGAAGATGCATTAGTAAATCCTGACAAGCTGCTGGTCCTAATTCATGGTAATGGTGTTGTCAGAGCTGGTCAGTGGGCAAGGAGACTCATAATTAATGAAGATCTGGACAGTGGAACACAGATACCGTACATAAAGAGAGCTATTGAGGTAAGTGGAAGTTGAAGGATGCAAGGTAGTGTGGGCCTGCATATGAAGAGCTGTGAACCTGTGATGTTTTAATTTTTTAATCAGTATTCTATATGTTACTGTGTGATCATTTTATTAGTGATCAGAATACATTTTTGGTTTTTGGAACTTTTTTCTAGTGGAACCAAATTCCTGACTTGCAGTAAAATAAAATTCAGTTGCATGTCATGTTGTTGTGTTGGGACTGCCATGTAGCTTAATATGGCAGATGCTATGACAGGAGCCCTTAGCAGGTGATGCATTGCAGCTAGAAGACACCACAGAAATTTGTTATAATTTTGATTGTTTTCTTTCATATTTCATTGAATTTGTACATATTATTGCTCAATGACTAGTGTAATCTAATGGTAACATAAGCTTTCATGATAACAAGCAATCTTTTTTACTAGGTTTGTACTGAATTTATTAGAGCCACAGTCTTTTTCAGATTTTTGCTAAATACCAATTCATTCTGATTTATTTATCACTATTTGACCATAGAAGACATTCACATTTTGTTGACACTATTTTGTTGTATCTGTTTGAGAAACAATGGACAAATTGTTTTATGATTTTGTCATTGGTACATTGCAGGTGTAATTCATCATGTGCACCCTGCTACCTAAAAGAAACTTCCTGTAGTAAATGTTAGAAGAGCTTATTTAAGACTCATTGTTTCTATTATATTTGCCAAGTTTAGCTAATGTTCTACTCCAAATATCAGTGTTGTTATTGTTACTGTTACGTATTTTTCTAGAAGATTAATTTTTGCGGTTCATGAGTAATTTTTGCATCTGTCTTTATAGAATTCAGGACAAAAAATGACACTTTATTTTCAATAAAGCCAAGAAAGAATACATATAAAAACATTAGGCCATTAAGTTATTTTGGTTTGTTTTCCTCACTATCAAAGCACTAGGCTACACTTCATGAGAGAAAGAAACCTTGTGAAGGCGAGGCTTATCTTTTTCTGACATACAGTTTTTTATAATTCTTAAATCAAGATTCAGAGACAGAACAAAAAGTACCTCAGGATTACTGAGTGCAGTACAGATGTATGGTAGGTCCCATATGTGACTTCTAGTGCTGCTTCCAAAACATTTCTCAAGAAACCCAAATAGCTGTATCTACTTCAATTTTTGTACAGTGTTTGGATTTTCTTTCCTAGAGATACTGCTGTCTTAGGTAAGATAACAGACCCAGTGTTACAAACTGGGATACTAACTTTATTGTAACAGATAATTTTTAAGGGTTATTTCTAGAAGAGGAGAGTTATATATTTCTTTTTGCTCTTTTGTTATTTCTATTTATTTTGTTCAATGGTTTGTGCCAGTACAACAGAGATCTCTGTTTTCTCAAATGGTTGTTATACTTAAAACCAGATTATTTGTGTCTGCATTTTGAATGCTTCTAAAAAAATCTAGACAAGAAAAAGTCCCAATTGTTGGATGAGAAAATATTTTTACAAAAGCATAATCATTAGAAAACATCAATACATCAAACTGTGTGTTCTTATCTTTGAGCTTTTCCTTAATATGGTTTTTAAATTCATACTTATCTTTAGTTCAGTACTGAACTATCAGCAATTGTAAAACCCACTGTCCCTTTTTGTGCCTCTTAAAATTCTGTTAAGTGTACTACATGTTTAGGAGACATACTATTTACAGTGATTTCCTGGATGCAAAATGAAGAATAGATCATATTCAGTTGTGTTAAATCAGATTCAGTTATGTCATTAAATGTGTTGCTGGTTTTTTTGTATCCTGTAATCTCTGTACTGGGAATCGGTTTTGTATCTGGTTATGTAAGGCAATATTTTATAGGAGTTGGACCCCACTGAAAGTATTTAGAATCACTTCGTTATGACTAAAAATAGAATATATATAGATACATGCTGATATCATGACTGCTTCAGATACAGATCATATAAATTACATTTCTAAATGCAGGAAATTATGGTAGACTGACAGTAAGGACCACCATATAATAAAAATAATAGTAAAAATTGCATCCTTTTCTCATTTTTCTGGTGCTCAGTCCTCCAGTTGATTTAGTCACTTTTGTCACTTACGAAATGAAAATAACTAGCCTAGATGATAAATAGCCTGAATGAAATTTGTGCTAGTCCCTCATGCAACATAATTTGAAGTAGGAAATTATTTTCCTAGATCTTTCTGTGTTTCTTCTAAGGAGAGGTCTTGTTCTTGAAAGAACCCAGCAGACCTTATCGAAGCATCAGTGCTGATGACAAGAGAGCGTGGATTTTTTTTCTAGTAGAATTACATGAATTTGAAGTGGATAATGATATGTAGGATTTGAAAATGCCTGTCATCTGTTGTGACTTTGCAACACATACAGGCATTGCAGCCAGCTTAAAATATTTGCTGAAGACTAGGTTCTAATTAAAAAAATAAAAATTGAAAATTAAAAAAGTAGTGCTTGAATGTCCAATGTGAAGGAACTAATTCAGAAACACCTGCATTTTAAAAACCAAAACCCACACAAGCAAAATGCCGCCCTCTAAGTAGGCCAAAACCCATAGCTTTACTGGTTTTCTCTCTGCTTCTCAGTTAATTTCTTGGAAAATCTGAAAACTGGGATGCAACAGCTGGGGTTATTAGTGAGCAGTGGATTGAGCAGGATGAACTGATACTTCTAAACAGGAAGTTAAGGGAAGAGTAGAAACTATTTCTCTCTGATGCAAGACTTTTGAGGAAAAAAGAATTATGACTTCTCAAGCATATGTGGAGCAAGGGAGCAATGTAGAGGATTAAAATTTTGTATTTTAAATTTCTAGTATTTTGGGGCTGCTGCCCCTAAATCTGTAAAGAAAGATTCAAAGAGAAATATCCTGGTGAGAATTCAAGTAGCTAGAAAGACATTTTTCTTTTCATCTGTGCAATTCCTGCAGGTAATGCTTCTTCCATGTTTCATATCAAGCCCTATTGTATAGACTTGATCTTTTGTGCAAGAGGTATTGTAAAGAGTTGACAAGGGTGTAAGTGAAGAGTTAACATTATTGTGTTAATTTGAAAATTCAAACTTGGTAGTGTAAAAGAGATGCTGAAAGATGAACGAAGAGAACGAATAAGCAACTAGATAGAGAACAGATTGTAGGAAAAGAAGGAGGGGGAGATAATTGTACACAATGTGAAAAACACATGTAAATACATTAAAATGTGGTAGGACAAAACTCATTTTAGAAAAACAAGTATGAAAAAGAAAAATATGCTAAGAATGTAACAAAAGCTAAATTAAATACTTACTAAAAAGTATATTTAAAACAAAAGAAAATGGCAATGTCCTGTAAATACAGTACGAAAATATTGCTTAGATCTGTTTTGTTAAAATTGAAATTTTCTATTGAAACTTTCTCTAGTGGGAAACACTGATTTTTGACAGAAGCAGTTATCTGGTGCATGAGAGACTGAAATTCAAGTCTCTCCCCTGGGAATGAGTGACTATTCCATTTATAATGAGAATTCTGCTCTGAAGACATTCTACTTTTTATTAAAAAGTAAATGTAAATGATGTAAATAAATAAATGTAGATTAAAAGAGTAATTTTTATTTTGTCTCTTCTATATTTTGCCTAAATGGCTCTTCTCAGATCAGTTATTGTTTAGCCATGCATTCAATAACTGAAGTAGTGCCATGAAAAGGTAATGAAAGACCGAAGCAAATTCTTCAATTTAATGATGAGGTCATATATTAGGGATGTAAAGAATTAAACATTTACAGTCCTGGTTTCATAATGGTTGTCCCTTGTTCACTGTGTTAAAGTAGGAGATGCTGAAGTTGTACTTAGAGATGCGATTTTTTTCATTGGGGAAACAGAAGCTCAGCTTGCCTTGGCTGGACATTGTGAAGAGTTTGGGAGTACTACTATCTTTGATACCTCTCCTCTAGGGAATAAAGAGGATATCAGCTTACTGCACAAATACAGGAAAACAGTCGTATGTTTTCTGAATCTTTGGAAATTCAGTACATTTGTTACCTAAGATAGCTGTGGTCCCAGGGATGCTAATAAAATTCAACAATAACACAGCAACTGTCACTTATTTATTAAAAAAAAAATAAAACTATCAAAGAACTGTTGTTTGATTTCAAGTTCAGATATTAAGATACCTTAGATGGATTATTATTTAAAGGAGAATTTATATTTGACAATAGCTGGAAAATAGGCTCTTCAAAGAACCTGGACAAGTTTTTCAGAAGAAACAGAGCAGCATCTAAAAATCTGACTTTACGTGAACAAAATGCCAAAGGTTTGCATGGGATGGGTATTAGCTGTGGAAATGTGTCTTTAATAACTGGTAAAACATGGTTTTCAGCTTCAGTTGTCTGTTGTGTTTATCTTACTCTTATTTTTTCTTACAATCTCTGTTCTCTTTGGTCAAAATATTGGATTTATTCACTTATATTAATGTCATTCATTTGTACAAAACTGTCAGGTTGGCAATATTTACTAAGAATTGGTGAGAGTTATTACTTTTGTCAGCATGCAGTAATATGTCATTAGTTTTGTAAGGCAGTTGAATGGAACAAAATCATTCAGTGTAACAGCAGTAAATTTTCTCACTATAAATTTTATGTGATTTAGTAATCTTAATGGTTAGTAGCTAGTATGATAACACATACTATTTTGTATTTTCTCTTTCCACATCATAAAAATCAGTCAGTTTCAATAGTGAATATTTACATATTGTTGCCCAGAAGTTATGCTTTATTTAAATTACACTAACAAAAATTCTTGCTTACAAACTTGTAAATCTGACTTTTAAGTATAGAATATCTTGTTAGACTAACACACTTTTTTGGTTTGGTCTTATAGTTTATACAGGTTTAGCATATTATCAATATGCTATTGTGACACTTCCTGGAAAAAAATTAAGAAGCTGACATTTCACTGCAATTATAGTTCTGCCACAGAATACTAATAGTCATGTGCCTTTTATGTCTTCTATGTGTAGTGTTGGAGAA